TGTTCTTTTATTAAGTTCCTTTCCTTAATGTCATATAGTTACAATTTATTTTTTTTAGATTGGAGTGCCAAGAGACATCGTTACCAAAACAGGAAAACGAGTCAAGAGATGTGAAGTGGTTCTGTTCGATGAAACCTGTTACTCATTCCCACTCATCATGTAAGCATGCATTATTTGGGGAAATGTTCCTGATAAAAAAATTAATGAATGGAAAGACGACTTCTTCATAATAACGTACACTTACGTACACTTATCTGGATACTTCATTATCATATCTGGTTTTTCTTGAGATGCATAATCTTAAAACTCAGTGATTATAAATACTCATGTGCAACTCTGGTAAGAACAGCTGTACAACTATTTTATCAGGTGGGATGAAGACACAATAGAAATGTCTCAAACGTGGATGCCTAAAGATATAAGTAAGTTTCAAAAACTCATTAATAATTCATAAGCCCATTAACCTATCAAATGGTAGACAATACATCACGTGCAGTGACTTTATATCGATAAACCTCATCCTTATTAGTATGGGGTGTTTTATCAGATATAAAGACACTGCACGTGACTTATGAATATTAATTAATTATCAACACAGAAACTGACACAACAAATGGTGGGAACATATTTAATGTTCTTTCAACAAATTTCACACAGTAAATTTACTTTTGCACCAAATTAATAGTACAGTTGTGAAATACAGATCTGGAAAAATTCTCTATTCCATTAGTACAGTAATCTGGTATAGGCATATTAGACAATACATCATCTGAAACTTCGAATTCAAGATCAGTTGGCAGAAGTGACTCCAACTCGTTTTCGCTAACCTCTGCGTTTGACCTTTTGCCAGTAGTCTCCCTATTTACGTATGCGTATGCGTATGCTAATTTCTAACGTTCACAAAAGCATAATTGTTATGAACTCTCTTGACACACGCTTTTCCAAGAATGTTTTTGAAGCCGTTCAAAAAACTCGCAGCATGTGTTTTTTAAACCCGATAAAACACTCCTGCTCGTTTTTTAAACATTACGTAACGTTCAGCCATCAATTACAAGAAATGCCTTTGTAAATTCTGCCATTTGTCAATATTCTTTGCTCCGTAGTTCTTTTTATCGCAGATGTTAAAGTGACCTTTGACGACTTCAAAAAGTGTATGATCGCTACGTGTGATAATAAAACAATTATTACTGCAAATCCAGGTAATACCGAAATTTCCATGATTGATATGTATATGTATGAATTAAAAGTATATTGAAGATCGTAGCTCGTTTCTGAAGCCGTAAAAGTTTTATGTATGTTAATGCTAAGAAAAGTTTTAATTGTCTCTGACCTTTGTGTATTGTAATAATTTCAGATACCATGGAAGCTCGGTACTTATATAATTATGCACAATCACTGGAGCTCTTAGATGATGATCCTCTGAATAACCCTGAGGCATCCCTAGAAGGGTATAATTGTAAGTATTTCATGCAAACGTGGTTGTCAAGAGCTGGACATTATCTAAAAAAGTGTATTTTATTAATCTATAGTGGAAAATGTAAAGAACGTGTACAGCGTTCAACAACTCAAGCAAATAATGGCAGAACTGGACAACAGCACGCAACAGATTCCCACATTTGGGATTGTTTATGCCTGTCTTACTTCCTTTGACATTGACAGCGATGTAAAACAAGTAATAGCGTCACGATGGTTAGTGCAAAATAAAAATTTCTCTTCGTCTTTTATCAGGTTCAAAACAAGTCATTAGCTTTAAAACTGTACTCACACCTTTTCCGAAGCCAAGACCAAGAGACAAGGAGTAGTAAGCTAGCTCACAAGTAAAAGGTCGTATATGCCATCACCTTAGTTATCGTTCTTAGTTTCTTCTTTTTTTCTCAACCTAATATCGCAGTGTCGTTCAAAAAGAGCCTATCTTAGAACATGAACTGTTTGCAGTGCTATAAATAATTATGTTTTCCTTCTTGTATAAGTGTGTCTTGTAATCAAAGAGTAGCACTTCTAAGCGAGACGTGCATGAACCCAGAATGCCCTGTGTCGTCAAATCCTACCGCATCTGGCAGTTCAACCACACAGCAAACAATCAAGACACAGTATGAAATAATGGTCTCCCTGAGTGATCACACGGGAACAGTTGAAAACTGTAGGCTTGCTGAAAACTGTGCGGAGACAATGTGTGGGTGCAAAGTAAGTTCAACTGATACATGCTCAATGCGGCATGTTGCCAGCCGCACTTGCTGCTCCGCGTCGCCAAAAATGTTTTTGGACTATGCTCATAAAATTATTTATAGGCAAGAGAAAATGAGAGAACCATCCTTGAGATATCACACTGATGTCGGTTGATTAGTCAGGAACAGTGTTCAATAAAGCTGACTCACTTCATTTGTGGTGATCGATAAACACGTATACAGAATGCACGATCTGTGCTAAGCTAGGTTTTCCTGCTTGCGACTGCGATTACCTGAGCATGGCGCCTACATAACGATTCTGGCTTGAATTTCTAAGCAGAAACGAGCGTGTATGTGATGATCACATACAAGATCGAGCCAGTTTACACAAAAGCCCTTACATGGGCCACATGCCCGTGGGCAGATGATTAGATACGCATCCAATTTAACTAGTCAGCTCGAGACAAACAGGATGTGATCTATTTTTAGTCTTTCCTTCCATAATTAATTTGCCTTCTTGTTTGCTCGTATTTCCCTATCTGATTTGATCTTAAATGTTAGGCAGTGGACTTTGCTCGATGGACCATTCCTCAGCTGACAAATCTGAAACTACAGTTCCTTTTGGAGAGGTGTAAAGTTTATTTTAAGGTATCAACATTCCAAAAAAGTGAAAATACTGCAGTAGAGTTTTCTTTACTGATACCCTGCTCTCCGCTTTCTCTCATCATTGATAAGGATGCCAAATGGAAAAGAAATCATCTAAACAATGTTTTTTTAAATTTTCTTTCATTCATTTTTTCCCGTAAATCTGAATCAACTGCATTTGGCTTTTACCTTAAAAGGTAAAGTCAGCGCAATTCCTACCAGTCTTCTCGTATTTCCATTAAAGCTTATAAGCCAGCTGTAAAACGTACATATTGAAAACAAGTTTACATTTGCAAAACTATTTCCATCTTTAATGGTAAACAGAGCTTAAAACTATCTTATGTCTTTGTTTCAGCTCACAATATCAAGTTCCAATCGATCCACAAGCGCCACCAAAAAGTGGATTAGATTGTTATCTTGTACTTTGGTTGACCCCAAGGAAGCTGTCGAGTCGCTATCTTGATCTTTGTACCGCTAATATTCAAGACATTAAACACGTGCGCCTATAGTTTAGTCGTTTTCCAACTCGTGCTTTGTTGCATAATGATTTAAAAGAAATTCTATGGTCATTGGCCAGGCGCCAACGTACCCAATATTTGTAACTAATAACGTTTTTACTTCCAGTCAGCTAGGTCTTAGTTCACTAAAAATAAGCAGGTGTGACCGCGACCGATCAGCTGCAATCTTTAATATGCTTCCTTTCATCGTTCACTTTCATGTGGGGCGACTTTACCACTTGGCACAAAATTTGTTGTTCCTCTCCGCTTGAAGCCCATGTAAATCATGTCCTTTATACTATGTTCTTTGAACAAGTATCAGATTAAAGTGCTTAAGCCCAGTTGGTGGTTTCCAGTCTGTTTACAACGTTTGGTTTGAACAAACAAAGAGACAATTCACGATTTGCGGGCGAATGAGTCGTACATTACGACAGGAAGTTACGGAATATGTAAGCGCACCATCGGTTTAGTTAGCTACGGTTTATACGAAAATATCGAAATTAAATAGTTTGAAATTTTGGGCCTTAAGAGATGGTATTTAACGCAAACGAACCCTTCCGATTTAATATGCAAATGTTTTTGGCATAAGCTCCGACGTTTAAGATATTTGCACGATATTGTGCTTCCACTTTGTCAGTTTCGTACGTGTGACACACTTCATAAGACCGGTTAATTTTACGCTCATGTCTAATTCATCATGATGCGATTCCTTCTTCGGGAAATCTTTTGATAATACGTGATATTCTCACCATTTAACTATAAAGGGCGGAGGAGAGTGTACAATCAAAATTGTGAAAGAAAACCGCTCGTACAAACTTCTAGAACACATGACACTTAATGCGTGCGTGCAAATACGCAGAATCTTTGGCTCCGACTTCCGAGAAAGCAAGTCAACGAATCCATGGGTTAAGTTTTCAACTTCAGTAGTGATTGTGCACATCGACGTAATGCGTGTAATAATAGAAATAAAAGTATTCCTTATTTGAAACCTCGATCCATATTTTCCCTACCCGTTCGGTCGTGATATTTTTCAAACAAAAGGATAAGAAAACGATCCCTTGAGAGCCGATAATCTGTTGCCCAATAGGTACCTGCTAGCAGGCATGAGAGAATATTACATCGACACATGAAGTTAGAGATTTTTCTTAGCATTTTACAACCCTTATTTTCTGTACCACTTAATGATACGGAATGTTCTTTAATATTCTTCATGCGTCATTGTCACATGCCCTTCACCTGAGAGCTTGTCGCCAAACTTCGTCAAATTTGCATTGGAATGTTGTTTCACAGCCATGCGGGTATTTTTAATTGCGCAACTAAAGAGCATATTGAGTAATTCAAAGTTAGCAAGAACAAACGGTATCTTTCTTTTGCTAAGAAAATGAAAACTACGCTTTCGATAGCTGTGGCTGCCTCGCGGAAATCGTTCAACATTTATGACTTCCTTATCGACAACCTGACACTAGCGAGCGCGTGACCAGACTGTTGTGTCTCAATCCAAAAATAATCCATAGCTTTCGCGCCAAATTCCACCGGGATGAACTTTGGAGTATTACAGCCCACTCTATTGTTTTTTGCTCATGTTGATTGGCTAATGAAACAATTGATAGTTTTCTTCCGTGATCTGAACCAATCAGGTGTTTGTTATTATCACGTGGTACGCTTATGTTCTGCAACCATGAATGAATGACTGCATGTTAGCGCGCCACGACGACGGTTTATTTTACTCTTTTGTTTTGGTTTAAGCCGAAACGTAGATTCATTCCTCGTGGTGAGAGAGACACGAAAACGAAAATGTGGGACAGAAACATCATGAGTTCTTGCGAAGTAGTTAAAGATCGCTTATATTTTGTGAGTGTGAGTTGTAAACCGCGAAACAACTCGTCCTATCACTATTTTAGCGTGGATCCTGACTGGACTCTCGACGGTTGTAAATTTCACGACACACCTTACTTCGGACCGCCAAATCTGGCTGGAATCTACCGTTTCTGTTGCCTTGTTAACACTAAACTTCACATGGTCCCGGTTTCGAAGAAGATTGTACTTTACACAACAGCTAATGAGGGTTTTTCCGACGCGAAGAAGCGAACGCGGTCTGTTTTCCTGTGTGGTGCCTTCGCCATGTGTCAACTCAAGATGACCGCCGAAGAAATTTACGCTTTACTAGAAAAGCACTTCCTGTCTTCAACTCTGGTTTCTTACTGCGATATCAATGGTAATGTATCCCACAACCTTAGCATTCTAGACTGTCTCAAAGGTTTTGAGAAGGCAATAGCGCTGGGGTTCTTCAAATTTGACGAGTTTGACTTGAATCGATACGAGCAGGAAGAACGCGCTTTTGATTTGAACTGGATCATTCCGGGAAAGTTGTTGGCGTTGAGTGATCCTCAGAGAAGACCTGAACTCAAAGTGAGTCGATTCAGTCGCCTGAGAAAATATTTCAGGCAGACTGGAGTCAAGGGTGTCGTAAGACTGAATAAGGACGACAACATGGTGAAATACGGGCTTATTTACGATGCGCGATGTTTTACCGCTAACGGCTTCTCGCATAGCGATCTTTACTATGAAGATGGTGGAATTCCAACTAAAGCAATCATCAAGAAATTCACACGAGTCGTTGATCAGTGCGATGGAGCCGTCGCCGTTCACTGCCGAGCCGGTTTAGGAAGAACAGGAACTCTAATCGCATGTTATTTGATCAGACACTACCGATTTTCAGCTGCCGAGTCCGTAGGTTGGTTACGCATCTGTAGGCCGGGCAGCGTGTCAACACTTCAACATTGTTTCCTCGAACATAAACAAGAACCGATTATGCGGGGGTATCCCGAAGATATGAAGATCGAAGATCTTACCGAAGCCGTGAAAAAAAGTTTGAACATGTTTTCCTACCAAAACACGATCATCGAAGAGCAGGAGGAGTAAACATGAATATTTATGACACTAATATGTGTTACTAGGAAAATTCTTTGACGTCTGGCTTGTGGGGCGGCAAACGACAGCTGGGAGAATATTAATGAGGAACTTCCTTCTTAGCCAATTGCTTGCCAAGAAAACCAGACATGTTTATTTTGATCTCACCTGAAGATGAAATGTGTCTAGCTTTGATCAATCTTCAGTGCCAGGAAAATTAATTCAAGCCAACTCCTCTTTAATTTTTTTTTTTTTTGTTTTTTTTTTTTGAGCTCTGAGGTTCTCTTATATTTGGTTACTTGATAGGTAAAAGGTTTTCAGGTCAAGATCTGCTAATTTTTTTCCATTGTAGCATACTTAATATTATATTTTCTCCTCAATTCACCAAACTTATAATGGACATGGCCTTAATTTCTTTCAATGCTTTACTTTTAAATTCACTACCTCTAATTTGTTTGCAAACTCTAATATGCTTGATCCAAAAGTCAGGAAAGGCCTCAAGAAGAAATATTATAGATAAAATTATGTGTTCCAAGGTGTCATCAATTGTGGCCTCATCAACAACAATTAAGCTAAAAATGTCCTAAAGACAATTTGTGAAAGCCAGTTTGAATCTATTTTTTAAAACTGTGTGTTAAACATATTCTGAACATCAAGGTAAAGGGAGCAGTTAATGAATTAGAAATTTACACTACGTTATCAATAGTAAAAACACATTTTAAAGCCTTTCTTGAAATGAATTTTCATTGAGAAGGTGGTCAAGTTCCCTTTTTTTCTGGAATTAAAGCAGATTGGAATTTGAGAGAACTCATGTCATGACACTCGATTTAAAGTTGTAATAATGGTAAAAACTATATAATCACTTTGGTAACATTTGATGATAGGTTAAAACGTGTACCATTCCAGATTAACAAAGATTGAATTGGTATTGTTGTAAAAATATACCATTTATTTTTTGTCTTGCAGGCAAGATAAAAGAAGAAATAATAATGTTACCCTAAATTTTAAAATTGTGGGAATATTTCATCAGTGGTGTATCTTTCATCTCATTTGGTTAAAATATGAAATGTTAATTGTATATTTACTGTTCAACCACTGATCAATTATTTCCCCAAAAGATTTTGTAAGATCCTTGTAATTTTCTTTAAAGGTTAATATTGCTGTAGCATAATTTGACATTATTTAGATATTTAAAATTTAAAAACATGTCGCTGTTGTAAATGTAAAAGTTATATTTTCAACTCAGTTGTAAAGGTGTAATTAACAGTCATTCAGAGCAATTTGTAAATGTTGTTGCTCAATATTGTATCACTAGGAACCTTTTGCCAAGCCTTAGTGTAAGTAGATTCTGGAAAGTACAGGCTTTTTGTTCAGGGCAGTTGTGCCCTTTTGATCATGAAATATGACGACAAATGCTGATTGTATGGATGTCTAAGGATATTATGTAAATTACTGAATGAAATTCATTGTGTTCAAAGTTGTTTTTTGTGGGTTCTTTGGAGCTGGTGTTATTCATAAGTGTCCAACCAATGATTACTGGTTCTTAAGCAATGAGTTAAGCCTAATGTTCAAGAGGACTATTGCTGGACCAGACAAAATTTATTGAGAGAGTAAGTACGTTCTTTTGAAATTAGTGATGGCTGATTTCACTTGCGTTCTCACGGAGCAGTGAATAAGGCTTCTACAGCGCTCCCTTGTGATTATTAAGTCTAGCTCTCAATTATTATATTGAAAAGTGCAATCAAATATTAAGAAATATATTTGGTTGTGAAAATATGTTTCTCAATCTAGTCCAAAAGAGGATATTGACAGTTGCCATTTCAATTATGTTTGTGAACAGCGAAAATGTGCTCTTAATTTGCCGAATCACCATGAACAAGATTCCCACGCGGTGTGACAATTTGAATTCTGGAAGGGCGTGGGTGGACGAATGTCACAGGGAGCCAATGAAAAAGACAAAACTTAATTACACGCGTTGGCTGAGCTGTACGAGTTTGCTTTACAATAATTCCATTTTCAGCTCAATTTGTTAAGCCTTTACTCAAGTGACAAGCGAGACATTCTATATTTATGCCTGAGTGATTTTTGGTAGCAGTATACATGGCATTCATATATTGGCGCTGACGGACGAATAGGGAAAAATGCCAGATGGGGCTGTGTTTGGTTTCCTTGACAACAACACGCAATCGCACAGACTGAATAATTTTCCTTAATCAGTGAACAGTGCTGATATCGGTCGCAATTCTTAGTGGAAATGGGGAGTATCAGTAACAAACCTTGAAATTGGGTGTATGTTTTAAAGTATTCCTTACGCGAATGCGTGTGATACTGTTTGTTTCATTTTAGGCCCAAAATATTCTAATTTACTCTCGCTTCGCCGACTAGTGTCAAGTAGGTCTCGTTGTTTTGACCTGACAAAATATCACTTACGCTCTATTCAGTTGCACCCAGATGTAGTTGAAATATCGGCTCTATATGGTTATGATAGATTCTTAAGACCGAATATAGCGAGTTTTAAAAGAGTTGTGTCGATTCATTGTTATAGCTGAGAGTAAAATCTTTCTTTGCCTATTCAATTCCACAAGAATTAATTTAAAAATGTTAATTATAAGCTAAAAAAAAAGTTTCAGCTATTTACAACTAATCTTTAAAAGGTGCCGGCGTGGCTTAGATAATCTGACCTAAAACTACTTCTGTTGTTTCGAAACGAGAAACCAACTCTTAAGATACGAGAAAAAAAACTTACATCCGAAGGTTCGAAAGACAAATAGTGCACCTACGGTTTCAGATCTGAATAGCATTAATTATTTTTTTCTCCTTAAAACTTCCTGTTTTCAAGAGACAGCAGGCAGCAGCTTGTTATCTAATTCTGAGTGCTCTTTTGAAGTAATTGGTTTCACGCAAAGTGCAACAGCTCATGATCACTTACGCATTATATTTTAAAGAATGCCGCTTGTAAAAAGCTGGGGAAAAAAAGAGGATTAATTTGAGATCGTGCCTGAAATCCTATTACGGAAACAATCAGCACGAAACTGGAACCTGTTTAAGCGCACCTCGAAAAGAAAAGTGCGGAAGTCTTATTTAAGATAGAGTGGAATTGGAAACTGGCTGAGTTCATTAGAGAATACGAAAAGGAAATACTTATGTGTGAAAAAAAAGCATATGTTCTTCTTCCTGTTGTCAATTCGTATGTAAACACAAGCATCAGAATTATTTCTTTATCTCTCGCCAGAAAGCCACGTGGGTTAACAGTGATCGAGTTTCTTTTATTTATTTTTTTTTACGGGTGAAGAGAGAGAAACTTACTTGCATGAAGAAAGTCGAAACTTACCGCTCATTTGGCAGGAAACTGGAATAAATAACTGAAACCAAACAAAATTTATCACATGGTTTGACTTGTTTTGTGAATCATCAGCCAGTTTTAATCCTTTTTTGCCCATTTGATTAAGGTCCTACACATTTATTTTTCGTTTGATATCTTTTTTTCTCGTTCAGGGTCATTTTGAATAAAATTAAATGTTTTCTCTGTGTGCTAGTAATAATAAGTTATTTTGGCTCGTGTCGGAACATATCTTACTTGGTTGGCCATTGAGTGTTTCCAATCCCTCTCCCCGACACGCACATATTAAGATAGAGACATGCGTGTATTCGCGTGACTGATAAAACCGTTTCGCAGTAGATAGGGTGTCGGCAGCAAACGCTAAAAAGGGTCACTACGAGCTCATTGACTCATCCGATGGCTGATGGTCAGACAAGGGGGGGGGGGAGGGGTGGTACGGAAAGGGTCTCAGTGATTTGACTCCGCCGATGAATTAATACGCAAGAGCTGCAAAGTCGCGGTAAGAAGTTGCACACGTAAATATCGATCCGTCTAGAACAATGGAACAATATCCTGCACAGCTGGAGGCCTTATTTATGTCTGTGTGAGGTATGTATTGAGCGACGGAACTGCTGAAAACAAGCGTCAATTGACGAGGCGTCATGCCCGTTTCGCGCATTGGGAAACAATTCCACGAGCAACCCCTGGGTACTAGATCAAAAGGTACTAGAACGTACTATGTAAACAAATCTCATCATGATAGGGGAAGGGAGGGTATAAATAATGGTAAGCAACACTTCAGTGTAGACAGATTTCATAGCTCGTTTTCACAAGACGTCGCAATGTCCATAGTAGTAACGAAATGTTCGTTTCCAAGTCATGTTGCAGTCTGAGTCAGCCTTGAAGAATTTGAACTCTTTTCTTACACAAACAGATTCCTTTTTTTTCTATAAGTTTACTTCGCTGCTCAAAACGTCCTGATGTAAAATAGGTTGTTTTTAAAACAAAAATGAGAGATATCTTGAGAGTTGCCTTGAGACATAGGTTAAAATATTTATGACACTTACAATTTTTTTAATCATTTCCGAGATATTTAGGTCACTATCTCTCCGGAGATAAAAATTGCACCAAATTGCACCGATATCAGCGAAAAGGGCCGGCACCATTGTTACAGAATTTTTTTTCTTTAAACTGATATTTTCATTTATTGATGAATAATAAACTTTTCTGGTTTCAATGGTTTTACATGTACAAATGTATATAGTCCTCGTATCTTACAAGAAATATCAAGATAGGGTGTTTTCCATTTCCAAATGGTCTATGAAGTAATTATCCGACGCACTCAAGTTCACAAGGGCTGCCTAAGAAACCTACAAATACGTCAATATTCAACTCACTGTACAGTGTACATTAAAACAAATAAAAAAGTATCTATTATTAACAAGAGTAGGTCCCCACAACTGCACAAAAGAGTAGGGAGCTTTCAGGTAGAAGCCCGTCCAGACTTTATGCGGGATTTCACTATTTGATTTGTGCTAATTAAAGTCCTCAAAAAGGGGTTTCACTAATTATTATTTACACCAAGACAACCACAGTAATCTAGCTACGTCGGTATTTGACATCATAGTAAACTATAATTTACAAAAAAAGTGAAATATCCTTAAGAGCAAACCTTATAACAGTGTCATGCTATGATTGAAAAATGTTTGCAGCGTGGATGTAAAAGCGAGGAAAATGTTTTAGATCTGTCCATCACGATGTTTAAAATAAGAATCTTCCATTCAGTTGCGTTGAAAATGTGTTTTTGATATTTTCGTCAAGCACAGCCTGAAGCTACTGGTGGCGGTTTGCATATCCTCCATGATCGAATCGAATTCTATGATTACGTTGGATGCCTTTGACTGAAATTTCTGCGATAGATGCTCTCTGTAAACTATCATAAAAGGCTGTCGGAAACATTTTGTACATAATATACAAACTTATGTACTCGCTGCTCCTTGAATGTCTCAGGTGTAGCGAGTTGGTTATCTATCTTAGTTCGTCACGCAACGTTTCCAGTGGTCACGCAATTGCGCGACTCCTCTAGGACCCGTTGCGTGACGAGGACCTTCGGACTGACCGCCTAGGAGACTACTCAACTTTGATATGTAAGTTTTATCCTGTTTCACACGGTAACATTTTCCAGATGAGCATTTGGCTTGTCAATCTTCTGTTGATCTCAGCTAATGCTAGCGAAAGCTTCAAACGTCTTTCAGGCGAAGACAACACTCGCACGATGTGATCGATCTTTTTTACTTTTGCCTTGGTCTGATTTTCTTTGAATATTGCCGGATGTCCCTTGCGTTTTGTGGTGGGTTTCTCTGGCGGGTTCTTTGATTTTTCCTGCACAGCTTTGGGACTTTTAAGGTTCTGATACAGAGAAGGTTTGCGCACCTGTAGAAAGTGACAGAGGCGCTGAAAAATTGTGAAGAGTACTTTCAATAAATCATTCGTTTTTCGATGAAAAGTTTTCTAAATTTCCTGCTATTTTTTATAGGCACTTTATACTTGAAACAGGTTGCCTTTTATAAACCACAAGCAACGTGTAAAGCCTATAAGGACAAAGCCGACTCCTTCCTCAGCCAATCAGCTGCGATGTCTTTTTGAAGCCGATTGTTTTCTCCGACCTCAAGAGGACCATTTCCATTTGACTTCACGTTAGTATCATGGCTAATATGAGTCAACAGTTCCAAATGTTTTCTAAAAGCATTAGCAGGGCGTGAAATTAATTTTTTTTTCTAATAACCATTTGGCTCCTAAATTCTTCAACGTAGTAGCCAATTCAAAAAAAGTTGGTCGCCATTTTAAAAGACAAACAAAACCCTTTTTTACGCTGTCAGCGTTCTAGACATACCTTCCAAAATTACTTTAACGTGCCAAAAAGTGGACACAAGGATGGACGATATACAACATTCAAGCTCACCTAAATCCAAGATGGCGTCTAGTTGTCGATCGAGATGCATGTGCCGCGTTTCGGAAACAAACTTAACGAGGAAGTTTGGCGCGGATTTCTCTTTGCAAATCTTTTTAATTCACCATATCTCTTGGTAAGGTTATGATGAAACATTCTAGTCGCCAAAGTGAAAAATTTAGTCGCATTGGCGCCTGTATTAGGCGCAATTTCACGCCCTGATTAGTCATACTTCTTGATAAAATGTCTTCATTTACATTCAGTTTTAAGAATATTTAGTCAAGAAAGCTATCAAATAACCATTCAAGTGATTTAGAGTTTTCAAAATTGGCATCAGTTTCTTCACTCGCCGACAAAACATAAGTCTTCCTCACAATCAACTTTTGGTTCAATCATGCACCGCGCAACTTAAGAGGGTAAGGATAGAGGGGGGGGGAGTGGTGGGCGGGAGTGGTGGGGGGGAGTGGTGGGAGGAAGAGTGGTGGGGGGAGGAAGAGTGGTGGGGGGAGGAGTGGTGGGGGGGGGGGGAGGGAGGGAGAGCCCGTTGCCTGACAGCACCATGCGATGGCTGCAAAGGAGAATAGCTATTTTAAATACTCTCAACCTTAGAAATTAGCTAGAGTTTGAAGAGACAGTGAAATATTAGTTACGCGAGAAAGAATGTCGAAGAATTTAGACACTGAAGGACGATATAAATTAACTTGAAAAATGCAAGCTGATCCAAAATTAACACTATGAACCTATCCTTACAAGAAAAAGAATTAACTGACAAATACAATTGTCCTACCTTCCTCGAAAGAGGATCGCTAACCACGCCGCCATTTGGTTGTCTTTCCCTACGAGTACTGAACGACTGTCTTCTTGTTGTTCCCAAACGGTAACCTAACAACGATTTAATAATGTTGATCCTTCTTCCTCGAAGAAACGGTTTTAAAAAAGTAATAAAAGAAGTCCTCTTTGGCTTTCGAAAGTCCTTTAAATTTCCACTTCGAAAATAACTTTTTTAATTAAAGATGACATTTTTGGCCCAGTTTTTCTCTCTTGAGGCAGCAATGCTAGCCGCAAATATCAGGGAAAACGAGAGATCTAATAAATCAGTGCATTGCAAGAAATACGCATATTTCACTCTTTCTACTCTTAAGTATTGAATTCATTTAGTTATTTCTTATTACCTAGAGCTTTCATATAAATGACATCTCACCCCTTACCCAATCAACCGCCCCCCCCTCCTTCAATTACATCCAAACTCTCTCCAATTTTCTCACGATTCCTTTCACTGATTCCGCAAATAAAACAGAGGATTTTAAGTAGCCTGGGTAAGAATTTTGACGCAAATCCCCGCCTCTCCTACCTGAAAATCGTTTCCCACCAATCCTGCGGGTCTCCGGTGAGAACACGTGACCGCAAGAGCAGGTACGACTGGAGGCAGCGACCTATATAATAAGTGATACATATGCATATGACTAATAAAAAAAAAGTAAATAAATTTAAGGAAAGGATTTAAATCAAGATTCCCATTTCGCTGTAATCTTTTAGGTAAATGGACAACCCCTTAAAGACGGAGGATTTTTAAAAAGAATTTTTTAAGGGAACTCAAGAATACATTAAACGCTGAGAATTGTGCCTGTAAAAATTTGGTTTACTGATCAAACTTTTGGGCTAAATTGAGTTTGCGTCACTTCTTTACCAGATATTGTTCACTATCTTTTTCTTTGTTTGTTTGTGTTTTTTTTTACAACTATTTATACCTTGCAGGCAGATGGGAGGTTTTACACATTCTGTGGTCTTTCTAATGTTTATTGGTTAGGTTCAAGCAACCGAATATATTCCTTGAAAATGGGAGAGCGACTAAGCACAATCATGAAGTTGTAAACTAATGGGACGATTTCAACAGCTACTCGTTTTTAATTTTCACATTCAAATATAATTTAGCCGAGCGCATGTGATCGCTTCCTTAATGCTCTTAAATGAACGATTTGGATTTTCTTCGTTTAACAATCGACGAAGTTCGGCCCAGAGACAAACGCAGTCGATTTTCGCCGCACGAATTCGAATTTTCCAGGTAGTCGGAATATGCTAGTTTGTGTCCACTTCATGGAAATGTTCTATCAGTTATACCAGTGAGGATTTTCAAACACTTCATGGTGCAGGAGGTTTTTTTTTCTCTAAACTTACACCAGGTCAATAAGCATACGTTACAATTCCGGTAAGCGACGGCTGTTGAGGGAAATTATTTTATATACACTACTGCAAATGAGGGATTTATCTTACTTTTCGACGATTTGTAAATCTGTATAAAATTCGATTGACTCATTTTCATTCTCGTAAACGCTAAACTTAGACACGTTTAACTGAGATTTTATCCTGAACTAATTTTTGAACTTGTTCTTTGCTTTACTGAAGGTCCTAAAGTCTGGGAGTGGGTAAAAATGTTATGAATTTTCAGTGATCTGCGCCAGTTGTACTAGAGGTTATGTAAAGGAGTAAAGATTCGTAAGATAAAGTTTTGTTGTAAGGATCTGTATTCTCTTTTTATCATGTTTTCGAAACGTAGCGATGTCTAAAAGGCTGGGAAGGCTTTACGTATTTTCATTTTTCAGTTAAGCCAAGTGTGCTTTCACTCCCTCGGCTCTGATTTCTGGTCCGGCAATGAAATTAAAGTTGCAACCAACCCAACCGGGGTATATACGCTTGAGCTCGCGTGCGTAAAATTTGTACAGTAAAATAATACGATAAGTTGCCTTTTGTCATCGTATTACGCGTAAAAACATACTCCCTTTTAACCTGTTTCAAAACGCAACAGAATACGTTCGTCGAGGACTGCAACGAAAGTCACACAAGCGCACCAAGCAATGTGATGGTTGTCGATGTTTTGGTAGCAGAAACGAAGATCGCATACAACTGATCATGAATTCACCGAAATAAAACTCTATTAAACGAAGCAAAACCGAATTAACCCCAACGATGGTAATCTTCTGAACTAATTTGTACTGTACTCAAATTCAGTAACAGGCTTGACATCAAACACTTCGTTGCGGTGAAGGACAACTGCCGGTGAAGACTTACTACAACGCAACCGATGATTTACAAACACTAAGAATCTGGCTAACCTTAGAATATTTTCCTTTAGCTACAATTATAAGACTACTTCAACATACTGACAAACCTTTGAGCTGCAGGCTATGCAGAGCTTCAGCATTGTCCTCGCGCTATGTCTGCAAAACAAGACAAAACTCGTTTGGTAGGAGGCGAGCGACGAACGATTACTTCGTAGCCTACGTCAACAGCGCTCGAAAACAGCTCGATCAGAGTTCGTTAGGATTTGAGCGCCTTTTTGGCGTTGTTCCAGAAATTGTTATGAATTAGCATAACAATGTGGTTTTATTGTGACGAACGACTACTGTGAATTCGGAAAATATGCTAATTATGTCGTCTTGTTTTCGATTTCTTGCCTCTGAACAATCGTTCAGATATCAATGATTTTGTGACCAAAATGTCAACTGTCGTTTTTCAAGATATTATTTTTTTATCTGAATTATTCAAAGAAAATTCCCTATAATCTTGTTCTGAACACATGTCTAAGTAACCAAAATAATCGGCCTTATGCAAAAAACCACTGCGTCACACAAAGTTTAAATATGTATACATCCTGCAGTGAATTCATACGCCCACTCTTTTTTTTGTCCGTGAATCTTTTCGATAATAAGTAGTGTCGTCAACTTCTTGAGGCAAGCTAGTTTTTAGCTGCTATCTAACAAGTGAACGAAATAATAGTTGAGTTTTTTCTCCAGGGTTCAAAGGATTGTTTTTATATTTCCTCACATTACGCGGTGCGGTGGGTGAACGCGGTGAGGACACTTTTGTGACGCGAAGAATCACGATTTCTTTCGCGAGAGAAATACAGAGCGCGCGCATTCGAATCACTGATCGTCTTTAAAAGGCGCAGACAAGATCTCTCGGAACGTTCTTAGAACTAACAGCTGTTATCAGACAATAAAGCGTGATGAATGAGGTGATGATGGTACGCGATAACCTGATCCTAACCCCTTGTTAAATTCAATAAGGGCGCCTGGAATCGAGCACATCACCTGTACTAAAACGCCTAGCTAGGTTCATGGCCAAAATTCTAAATTTTCACAGGAGGGAGGCCAGAAGCAGCAACCGCCTGATGTTTCGCAAGTGTTTTTGGTGTTTTTACAAGAGAATCCAAACGGAGCGACGGGTCTGCGTACAGTTGTTAAGCGTTCGATTGACAGTGTTTGGTTTGAGAATTTTTGTACGCAAGGGTTATTGCGTTACCGTTTCGGTGGTGCTTTGGCCTACAACAGCTTTGTTATCATGCGCACAAACAGCTTTAAAAGTTGGACCTTACTTGTTATCTGTCTCAACTACAACCGCTGTCTTACTTTAAGGTGGAACCAAAATTGATTGTGTTCAAGCTGGCCTGATCTCAGGTTCGCAAATTCGAGGTCGAAAGTCTTCTTTTGCATTGAAAGAGATCGTGATGACTGCCTTCATTGGAAAGCTTTCCTCCGGTCTCTTAAAATTGTCTTGTCAACTGACGGCAATGTAAATAATTTCCTAATCAAAGCGCTGATGATAACCGGAGCCAAAACAAATCCCGAACAATGAAGTCTCGAGCTGTTATGCTTTCTTCGTCATCCGAGCACTATCAGTTAACTGTTAAATAACAGGTACAGGTACGTACTTTTCTATCCTGCCCCAGGCTCTCAATTTACGGGAACGAGTCAAACAGCACGGAAAAGGAGAGAAAAAGAGGGTTCTGGGTCAATTACCCGAAAACCTCGCTTGATTTGGAGCGTTTTTCTTTTTTTGAGCTTCTAGTGTCTGTCCAAGCGTAATTAAGCTGTTTGTTTCGAGTAAAATTCTCTTCTCTTTCCTTTGATTGTGAGTGTCTTAGAGAACTTGGACTAAGAGCTCATTAAATATAAGCATGCGTCATGGGCTCAGAGAAGTGGATGCGCATGTTTAGAAGAGGCCCCGCGCGAAGGAGAGATTAATAAAGCTTTCCGTGAAACCTGCTTCACAAGGCTGGTCTTAAACAATACCCTACTAAATTCCTCGCCCGCTGACAACTCCTAGGTGTTCTACCCGACTTAAAATTATATTACAGTACGTTTTTAAATTTACATTCCGTGCTTTATTTGTAGATTCTAAACTGCTTGATGTGAGGCTTGGATTCCACTTTTTTTGTGTTTTGCGGTATCCCATTGAAGTGTGGTTTTTGCTTTGAGATGAAACAAGGACCCAACTGATACATGCTGTCCCAGAGAGCTAAGATCAGAACCTTTGAATACCTGAGACCAAGAATTTAGATATGGCTCAGTGTTGAATGACAATATGATCTCTCGAGGAACGGCAAAGATTTCTGAAATTTTTTCAAAAGGATAACGGACTAATTAGGGTGTATTGGAAGGCCATGAGGGATTCCAGTGAACCTCTTTCCAAACAAAAAAGCGCAGGATTTTAACTTTAAGGGTTCCAGGTTCGAATCCCCCGCACTAACATTCAGTTTCATTTGTTTTTCCGATGATATCTCCTTGAAAATCCTCCCTTGGCCTTATGGGTAACTAATCAATTTTCCTCAGTTCAGATTTTCACTGCGCTTGTTTATTTATTTACAAGAGATTAAAAATTGGTATGTATTAATTGTTTACTTGTTTTGTTTTAATATTCATGCGCTGCCCACAAACAACGCATAAGTGTTAACTTTATCTACACCTCATTTGAACGATGTTTCCATAGTCTGCAAAAATTCCACACAGTATATCAATTGGTAAACCAATCTCGCCTCTGACTCGCCCAAGTGGCCTATAAATTAAATTTTTGGACTTTAACCGCTACTTTTCAACACACCGAGCATCAATTTCCTTTAACTTCTTAGTGCGAAAGACAATTAGCTAAAAAGGAACATCTTTGTCCTTCGAATCAAGGCTGACCTGACTCTTTTTCGTATCTCGATAGTCGGCGACAATTACATGACACGACCTCAATTTCAAATTCTGGATGGATTCCTCGGTGGAATGGTCCTTAAACATCAAACTAAAAAGAAAATTAAATTATGCGCATCATAGATGAAGATAAGTTTGAAAACATCTGAGCAAACAAGGTTCTGTACTATAAAAACAGATTTGAGCTATATCTCCTATAGTGTGGAGTGAGCTGGCTTGAAAATTTCATTTCAATTTCGTCCGAGTATTTTCTGGTGTTGACGTGTTTTATCCTCATATATGTACAGCGCTTCGTAAATTCGCCTTATTCATCCAGCAGACGTATTTTGTTGAATGCCGGGTTGTATAACTGGTTAGTGAGTGATAATTTGAAAGGAATTTTCAAATTATTAGAATGACAAAGTAATAAGGCTTACGTTGACAAACAACTGAAGTATGCAGACGATCGTTTACAATGATAGCTGGAAAAATGTGGTTTCGTCCTCAAGTGTGTTTTGTTAAAACTGCTCTTAAAATATCTGGGGAGTAGAAAAGTTTTAAAAATTATTAGTTCTCTCTCTAGTGCTAAACATAATAGAAAGATTGCCTTCCATGTACTCTGTAAACAATGCTTTCATATATAATTTCCAAACAGGTGTGCAAAGGAACAAAACGAAACCAAAATTGCCGAAATGACCTCGCAAGACATTTTAATTATATGTTAAATTGAAGCACCTCTTTGCCTGGTGTAAAACGCACAATAACTAACAATCATGAGTGAGTCAATTAAGAGGAATTAAGGCGGTCGCTAATTCCTAATTACTTGGGGGCAGGTAGAAATGCAAACTCAACATAGATGCAAGAGTCGCTTCTGTAAAACCGTTCGTGTAATTTGGATGTAGGAGTGCTACTTCACCAAAAAGATAATTCGATTCCTGCAGAATGTTATTTCTTTTTAATTAGATTGCCACGAGAATAAGGCGTCATTCTTGTGTCAGTCATTCGTATTTCATGCACACTTGTTTACTTTTTTTTCTTTTTCAGATGCAAATTTCCACCGTAACATCGCTTTGTGCGCTAATTGACACCTAAACGCGAAAAGAAAATTATGATTAGTAATATATTGGTTCCTGTCCAAGCCAAGAAATTTATTATTCCGAGAACTAAAATAGCTAATTTTACAGCTCGGTTGAAATCGGGCAGTAATTCTGGTTTCCTCTCTCAAAAGTTTTATATAAACAGCTTGTTTTAATACTATATGTTACGATGTACATTTGTACAAGCTGAATAAAATTTCAATAACACATGAAGATTGATTTTTCTGCTAGACGAACAATTGCAAGTGTATATTAAAATTTTTAGGCTAAAAACGCACCATGCAACATCTTTTTATCAAGACATGAACGCCTCTCGTTTTTGTCCAACGCGTTTCATACTGATGTATATCATCCAAAGTATCATTTTTAACGGAAACGCGTCGATAAGGGCTAGTTGTACATGTAGATGGTAAAATCCGTGAAAAACGTCTCTTAGATTTTCATGAAATTAACAGCGTCACTTTAGCTGTAGAGATTTCATGTCACTCACAGCGTCTTCAACATTATGATCTCCTTCCAAAAGTTTTATCACCTCCTCGAACTGAGGGCTACATTTTACATTCGCACAAAGCGAAAACTTTGATGTATTATCGGTGATGGTGGGCAGAATGGTTTGTCTTCGGCTCTGCTTCCCTTGCCGACCCCGCCATTTCATTGCTAAGCTTCTTGCTTTAACTATTGTTGTAATAGAATAATGTTCTTTAGCATCAGAAGGAATAGACAGCGACCTTTTTCTCGATGTAACCATCAACAACGATGGCGTTTCACTTCCACGTCTTTTTCCAGCCGTAGGTAGCTTGCCTTTTATCATTTCTATCGCTTGCCCTGAAGGCTTTGTTGGTTTAACTTTAGCAGAAATGTCGCCAACTTTTCCTCTTGATTTTGACGAACTGATACCTGGTTTTGCGTTTGAGCGAGATAACTGTAAAGGCTTCGAGGAGAAATTTACTTTCTTAGAAGAATATTGTTCGATTAAACTCGATCCCTCACGACTCCAATGTTTTGTAACATGGTAACCCGCAATCGAAGGTACGACATCAAGAGTTTTACTTCTCTCTCTCGACTTCAGTCTTTCTTTTCCAATCCCAGTCATTATTGATTCATTTTTGGCACTCTTAATGCGATTTGTACCTTTCCCATGTGTCATTGAAGGTGCCATGTTATATCTCCGTAATTCCAAAACTGGATCAACCTGGGTAAACAGACCAGTGTGTGGCATGTCTTCGAAAAAACACGTTCAAGATTGTGTAAGTCTATGTTTTCAACAACATACCCAAATCACTCTTTCCCATCGCGATTCAAAGGACCCTTTCTCTTTGTCGAGTTCTTTTTGTAATGATAAAATGAATGGGCTATTTTCTCATTACGACTAACGCCAAATTAAAAGCGTCTTTTATGTTCGCACACCCGTCTTACCTCAGCTATTGTGCGGAGACTTGCATCAAGATGTGTCTTCTTTCACTGAAAGCCAAGCGTGTCACATTGACAACAAAATGTAAATTGCCTCGATCAACAATAGGGTTACTGTCAGCTTAGCCTCTTGTTCTTTGTACACTTCGCTTGTTAATTGTTTAAATGTTGACACTTGTTTCGGTGAATTCGAGAAAGCTGATTTTCAAATTTGGATCTCGCAGACAATTGCACAGCTTAATTCTTAAACAAACTGACCACGAAAGACGGTGGTGAGTTATTTACACAGGAAACATAATAGAGTCGGTTAGAGAGGACTGTGCTTTTTCTTTAAACAATGAAGTAAATTATTAGACAAAAGTTGGCTTTATATTGTACTGTACTTTAGTATATGAGACATGTATATTCATTGTACTAATTAAAGCGCATTCGAAGAAAATTGTGGTGTTATTGTGTACCAGCCCTGACTGGGGGGTCATCCCCTTCTTTATATTTCTCACCAAGTACAAAAATTTCGCTTTAAGTTACGATATTGAGTCAAATTTGGCGTCATGTGAAATTACATGTGAATGCAATAGAACTATGAAATGGTTGATCGCTCGGGTATGAAAACGCTTAAGAAGTGAGAAAAGGGGCGAGGAGACTGGGGTGAGAGTGGAAAAATTAAATGCGGATTGCAAATAACGAATTTGAAAATTTCATTCAGCTACATTACTAGTAAAATATTATCAAAATGGCAAAACGTTGACGCAACTTGGTTGCATATTATGTCCCACTGACTCGCAGATATTCCAGTATGACACTAAGAAATTATATTTTTTGAGTTAGAACCTAAATTTAAACAGAATCTAATGGCGCACAGTTCGTTACAAAATTTGATAAAATCTTAGTCTTCACTGCACCGAAAATACGGGGCTACAATTAGCATTGACTGACAGGTAATATACATTCGGAAGGGATTTTTTTGACGAAGTCTGATACAGTGCTTGGTAAAAGTGCTACATTTCAAAAAACTTTCTGAGTGAATGGAATACGGAAAGTGAGAACATCTGCAGAGCACTTTCAAAAGAGCAATGTAATCGTTCATTTCACGATGTGGTCAGTTCAGATGCGAATCGCGATGTTTGGACTACATTCTGCTAGTCCTCTACAGGCGAGTTTAGTTTTCTACAGGCTTCCTCTGGAAAGTGCTCGGTAAAATACAGGACGCTTATTCCATTATAGATTTAGTACCTAGTATAGAAATATAAGTTATAATTGACAAATTTTAGCTCCTTTCTAAGATTTTGTATATCGCTGAGTTGAAACTTGTTTGATTAATGATTCAGAACTTAATGAAAATAAATTGGATGCTTAGTGACACAATACAGGTTAAGTACAAAAAAACTAAAGAAACACATATATCAAGATTTAAGAACTTGCTAATTTCGTGAAATAGCCGCTTTCTAATGCCCTGAAAACATCATATTCATGGTCCAACTGGTTCAAATGATAATCTTTTATTTGACTGTTTTTGGGCTTAATCGTTTCAGCTCTTAGTCCCACAAACAATAAATATTGGAGCTAATTCATTTCCTCGAGCGCTCGAACAATTGACTAATTACAGCTTAATTTACTAAAATGTTCTTGAGTACTCGGATAATTGATTAATTAGGGCCTAATTGTCTTTTCTTAGGTAATATTCAATGTACGGTGATTCTCGTAAGACAGCCTTTTGAATCACTTCACGCAAGGGTTGGTATTTCTTTAATGCAATTCACGTGTGGTTAACATTCATGTACTACACAATTTAATTGCGCCCAAAATTTGCTTGCTAAGGTTTTTCTGCAGTTTTCATAAGTGACGGGTCATTATTTATCACCTGAGAGGACGGGGGATCGAAGGATTTTGGTTGTGTCACCCACCCCTCCCCCCCTTCCAAGGCGTTATATAATCACTGGTCAGAGGGGGTCCATCTTTCCTTTTACCCTTCAATTCAGTTACATTCTCACGGACATTATTGGGGTGGGTAAGGTGTCTCAAAGCGACAATGCACAGACACAGCCTTCATTTATTAACATATATATTTGAAAAATCTCCTCAGTATACAGTTCTGAAAAAGTCATATAAACCAAAAGTATGACTGTCTCCTATTTTTCATCAGCTCTAAGCTTTTAAAACTATTCCGTGTAAGTTGTATATTTAATGTGTCGTGCACGATATGCATTATTATAAATATGGTTATAAGTGCTTTCGCGTAACTTGAAAGGAAGTACTTTACTGTGAGTGCGTTCGGAATATCGATCTCATTTAAGCGACAGAAGAGGCCCCTTTGCTTATTTGAATATTCCAATATTATAAGACACGATATTCTGGTCATCAAGTTGTGGTATCTGAGAAATGCATGAGGGTAAAAAAACTGATACAAAAACGGTTTAAAACTGAGTAGAAATCAAAAATTAAAAATGTTTCACCGAAAATGAAGCTAAACCAAGAGAGGATTCTCTCTTAATTGTACCTTATAGGCAATGGATGCTCATAAAAAATAAAAATAACGTATGAAAGAAATTATTAGAAAAGTCAAATATTTGCAACAGAAATTTTCTCAAAACGTGTTTTTTTTCGCTTCTACATCGTGTGACATATTTACGTGTAAACGTTCTCGCTTTGTTTTAGACCTTGAGGTGAGATATATCACACGAGTTTAAAACACTGCATTAGAAGATTATCACTTCTTTGAAATCTTAGACACTCTTCTTGTCCTCGCATTTTCCATGGCCCTGGCCTTGCTCTTGGTACAAATCGAAGAGTGCTGTTCTTCATCCTGCTCCTTACAAACATCCCCACAGTACCCCTGTGTGTTACACTTTTTGCACCACATTTGAGCTGGTTTACCGCACAAGCAGAAATACTCGCAGCTCTCTGTCATAAAGAGATCAAAACAAGTCTTAGCTGTCAGTGTTTGCAGATCTAGAGTCACTTGAAACAATTCACCGTTCGATCATCACGCATGCGCATGATTATGATTTTCGAGAGAAATATTAGAGAGAGCAAATCTCACCAGGCCCCCCGCGACTTCTGATCAAGTTAGTACTTTCCCAAGCCGTACCCTCCTAGAGAATCCACGATAGTGATCACTTCATTATAACGAAAAGTACTATGCAGCCAAATGGGTAGATTTTTGGCTTCCTACACCTGTTTTCCGATGCAATTTTGGTCTAACTAATACTGGAATTCCAATTTTTTTGTGATGGCTTCAAGTGTATTACCCATCGTGTTTTCCTTCGTTACTTTCTTTTCCGATATCTTCGACATTTTTGTATAAAAAAAAATAGATTGATGAGAATAAATAAATAAATAAACGAATCTCGTGCCATTTCTGATTTCAAAAACATTTCAAGAACTTTACCTGCGCCGTGGAACACTTTGACATACACAGTCTTCTTATAAAGCGCGGACAGCACCAGCTGTGTCTCTGTTCGAGGGTCAATGATTTTCATTTTTCGCGAAATAAACAGATATCTCACTGAGCCAAGGTAACCTGGCAACGAGTGATTGATATCCTCCCTTAATTCTGCCAATGTTCCTCCTCTCTTGGCATTCACTATCCCTGCCACGTGCGCCAGGATCCCCATCTCTGCGTTGGGTCGAATCACCTTTATTTGCATTTTGCGTCGCTTTACCACTTGGTCTACATGATACGAAGAGGAAAAACAATGTTAGATATAATATCAGATTTCGACACTTAGAGATAATTCAGGAGAAACGAGACTAAGGAATAGTCTGCACTCAAGACAGACTCGCAAAAAGATGCTTATACTTCTTACCCCAGTATACCCCGACGAGGAGTGTTGTTACCTCCCCATCGTGTGCGCACCCCCGGATGATACCCATCCTGAGCTGTTCCTTTCCTAAGGGTATTTTAAGGGATTACCCATTTACACCTTGACGATGAAAAATATTTATTTTATTCCTCAGTTATAGGCGAGTGATTTTCTACAGCAGGTTTGTAAATTTTCCCACGCGTGTTTACCCCTTCCAATGGTGCCTCTTTCCCTTAGGATATTCCGCCTATTTACCTCAGATACTTCTTATGTGATAAAGATCAATTGATTCCTCAACGATGAAGAAGTGATTTTCTAAAGCGGATTCCTCGCGTGTGTTACCCCTCCCCTAATAACCCTCTTATGGTGCCTCTACCCCTTAGATATTTTAGCTATTGACCCACTACACACTGACAAGGCGGAAAATTAATTTTACTCCTCTGGTTTTAACCGTTTACCTCCCATGAGTGATCAAGAGAAAATTTCTCCTTACAAAATCAATACAATGTTAAGCATAGGAGTGATGAGAATAAAGAAAAATATCAATTAGGGGATTATCAGTTGATCCAACACCAAATTCTCCAAATCTATTTCATAAGAATTGTATGGAAGATAATAAAAAGAATTACTAATGAGATCTTGGGAGTTAAAGGGTTAAGCAGAGATATCTTATAGCAAGTTCTCACTTGTGACCACCAGAAAACCCGGCATATTGAGCAGGTCAATGTTGTCCCCGACAGATGACGTTCGCCTACGTAGGAATGCCTCTTTTCTCAAACTCTCATCAAAGTCATCATCATCATCGTCATCAAGTACATCCCCCATGACCACAGTTTCTTCCAAAGCTGGCAACGATTTAACAGGGGATTGGATTTCAGTCCGAGAGCTTGTAGTTGATGACGAAAGTTCAGGAGAAGTGGGAGGAACTGGAGAAGTGTCCGTATCCTCACTCGTCCGAAGACTGCCTTTGGAACTGTGGACCGGTGAAGATTTCCTGCTGATATTTGGAGTAGTTCTGGGTGTTCCTTGTTTGGACGGGACGGCAGAAAATGCAAGAATTGGTTTTGGACGATCAGCGTCATCTTTCAATGTCAGCTTTGGACTCTGCAAAATAAGGCATAATTTTCAGTACTTTAAGAATATTTTAACCCATAAGTTATTTGCATGTTCATTGCACAAGTACTCGCAAGGTTGTAGACTAAGTATGCTACCAGATAAGGTGCTGAAGGGAA